CACACACACACACACACAGAGAGAGAGAGAGAGAGAGAAAATAACATTTTAGATCTTTCTCGTGTTTTGTATGTTTCTCTGTATGAATTCGTATTGAGAAGACATGCGTAAACCAAACTAAATGTACAAAAAATAAGTTAAGCAATTGAAAATCATGGTTTACAACTTACAACCAAGGAAAATAACACCAACCATCATATCACCTATTACCACTCTTACAGCTGCAGCTCTAAATGCAAAGCTGACGATTGAACTTTTGAAGTACAATTATATCCTTACTGATCAAACAAACTGGATACTTTCTTTTGTATGAGCTCCACAGTTAGCCGGGGAGACAGCCTCGGAAGTATTTCCTGCAATATGAGTAGTCACATTTACATCAGTTCATGTTATTCCAAACAATGAAGCCTAGAATAATAAACCACCAACAGGGTAACTCTCACAAATAATGCATCATCACAATGATTGAAATATCTATCAGATACCAATAAGGAATGGTCTTTAGGCGAGCTGGAAAGTAAGAGAGAATTCCTTGTTTTCACCATCGGATTACCTTTAAAAAATTGCTGACTTGTCTGGAGTGATCTTATTATAAGTTCACGTGCAGGTCAAGGCACAAATGTGTGGTAAACCTCTATCAAGTTTGTGCCAGCAAAACATATCGTGATATGTTAATAATTCTTCATCGAACAACGAAGCTCTGATTTTACTATTTGTGGTGATTATACCGACTATTGAACCAGCGAAGCATAACCTCTGTCTGCTTCCGTTCATCGAATTGAGACATTGATATAGCCACATGTTGTATACTGATATCATAATTTGGCTCTGTGCAAGCTTACATTGCATAGCTGAAAGCATGGCAAAAAGGGTAAATTGCGAGCGGATCAATGGATACCTCGGTGCCGTCGGGGAGCACCTTGGCCAGCACCGGGATCTCGTACTGGTACAGCCGCTCCCACTCCAGGTTCGTCGTGATGTCCCTCTCCTGATCGAATTAGCCCAGTACCCCGAAGTAAGCATCCATCTCATCTCAGCACGACAAAGAGATTACGAAGGAGAGCGGCCCGGTCACTTGCCTGGAGCTCGAGGGAGGCGAGGGAGTAGGGGGTGCCGGAGAGCAGCACGGCGGCGTGGAGCTTCTCCTTGAGGCCGTCGCAGAGGCAGCACCCGGGCTTGGTGTAGAGCACCAGCCTCCGCGGCGCCGCGGGCGAGCTCGACGCCTCCCCCGCCGTCGCGGCGCATAGGAGGCGGGACGCGGCCGCGGCAGGGTGGGCGCGCGGCGCCACGATGCGGACGGCCGCGGGACGCAGGAGCAGCGCAGATAGCGCCGCCGCCATGACTGTTATCGTTGGGCAGGCTCGGTCCGTCGCTGACTGACGACGAGGAGGAGGAGGGGGCGCGGATGAGGCGCACGGCGGCACGGGCCGCGGCCGCAAGTGAGAAGACCGGTTAATGGCCCACGGGCCAAACGAGCTCCGGGTCATGATGGGCCAGAGGCCTTATCGAGCGACTTTTTGTGGTGGGCCAGAAGCGTCTCTGCTCCAGACGACGCCGTAGCCACCACTTTCTCTTCCGCTCGCCGCCGCTCCCCTCCGCGCGCCGCCGGTACGACCGCCCCTGCGGCGCCCCACCTCCCCTGTCGCGTCGCGTTCATCTCTCCTCGCCCGCCTAGGTTATTCCTCGGTCGAGCGGCCCCACCCCCACGTCGCTCCATCAACTGCTTCCCTCTCCCATCTGCTGGTTTCCCGGCATGCCTTAGCGCCACTCACTGGCCGCCGCCATCACTGCGGCGTCACGGGTGCAGATTTGGTTGCAATCTACCCATGCTTTCTGATATTTGATCTGGTAAGTTTCTGCTCGCGTTTTCCTGACTCGTACACACATGGATGAAATGGAGCTAGGAATAGTGTGGAGGGGGCTCCGATGCTGGGCTTTGGCAGCACGCTAATTTAGTCGATGTGGTGGATGGATTATGTTCCCTGGTTAGCTTTACTTCCTCTCTGTGTGCACGCAAATTTAGGTTGATAGGATGGGTGCAGTGAAGTGAAGAGCACGCTGTCTGCATTTCTTGGGTGGCATACATGCTCTTCTTTTGGATGATAATCAGAATTACCGTCCTGTTATTTTATAGTAGAACCCAAGAACTTTTGAACGCTTTAGTTGGTAACTTGGTATACAAATTCCAATCGGAACTGAGGACTTAAGATGGATCAGCTGGCATGTAGTAGCTCCGAATTACCGTCCTGTTCTTTTATGGTAGAACCCGAGAACTATAGAATGCTTTAGTTGTTATATGGAGTTCAAATAGGAACTGAAGGCTTAAAGGTGGTTTGTAGTTTCCAATTTTTCTACTATGTTGTTTGTATAGAATCTGAGGTTCATACTTAGCAACCAGCTGATGGTGCTATTGTTGTAAGGATAACAATTTGATTTTATTTACTGAGTAGTCGGAGTGACAGTGTGGATGATATTGGGCTGCTCCCTCGTGAAGATAGGATTGACCTTTTGTGATTATTAAGCAGTTTGTGGTAAATAGTATAATTTTAGAATTTGACCTCAATATTACAAGCATTAGACCCAAATATTGTTGTGGTAAATCTATGGTTGTTTCATAATTTAGCGGTCTACTGTTTCTGAAGAGAAAAAAATTAATATTGAAGGGCATAGTGGTGTATCGCTCAGCCTAAAAAAAATGAAGTAGGGCATTGTCATCAGTTGCCAGATAATTTATATTATTGTCCACATAGTTAGAAACCTAATTATGTCTAAAGTTAGTTAGCTCAATATTTGCCCCAGTGAAAACCAGGAGCTCCCCATGTGGTGCCGCACAAGCAGTCGCTGCTCCACTATTGCTTGCTTCTCCTCTAGTGTGGCCTTTTTGTTATGGGTTAGTTTAGCAAATCTTTCTAATTCAATCTCCCATGCTTCAAACGATTTCCAACAGAACAGAACTGCCTGAGGAGAACCAGCAGAAAAATAAAAAGTGAAGTATCGTCACGTGGTCGTAAGAGAGACATGAAAGATACATTGGCAGAACAGCCTGAGAAGAAACTTAGTCACAGAATTCGTCCAAAAAGAGCAAAAGGTATTGGCTAAATAGCAACGACACCCAGATAACAAAGCATCAATTTTACATGATATGAGCCTTTATCTCCTTTTCTGGCCTTTGTAGTTTCGGAAGTCAAAACTTTACTGGAAAAACCTGATCATGAGATAGATCGCATGAAGCTAAGTGTGATGCATCTCAGGTTGTTACATGACGCCAGAGAGCGTATTAAGGTGAGCTGGGTTGAGACACAGCTGGTGGTTCTGTTTATGAAAATCATTGTGCTGTTGTTTCATGATTTTGTTTTGGCTTTTCCTAGAGTAAGACAATTCCGTCAGGACCATCATCCTCTAATCAAAGGTGTGCTCTCTTTTTTCACTTCAAATATTCATGCATGGATATTTGCTCTATCTCGTGTATACCTGCCATTTCTTATTTTCTACCCAGATATTTTTACCTGAAGTGTAGTAAAAAATAACCAATCATTGACAATAATGCTACAGACTGATTTGCAAGCTTTTTATTTTATCATGGAGATACTTCCCTATTGCAAATAGATTATTTGAACTAGGCATTGCTGCGGCAGCTGTTTATTCTAGCATCTAAATTTGTCTTCTTATATTTGATGGGCTGATATACTCCTTCAATCACAGTTTGTACTGACATTTCCTATGTCATGTTCTTTGTCGATGCCTTTTCACAGCACCTCCCAGTTTGGAGATACCAACAGTTTTGATCATTTTGAAGAGAACTATGACAATGACAGAAGAGAGAACCACGTGCTAGAAAATGCAACCAAACTGAATTACCATTCCTACATGAACAAACAAGCACGGGCCAAATGGTCAAAATCTGACACTGACTTATTTTACCAGGTATTTAGATATCAACTACTCAGGCAACTACTTTCATGTTGAATATACCTTTTTCTTGTTGACGTTTTGGCTTGCCTATTGGAAACTTCAACCTTTTTATCTGTTCTGGTTCAGGCTCTTCAACAATTTGGTAGTGATTTTGCAATGATACAGCAGCTATTCCCTGATAAGTCCCGTGATCAGGTGCGGCAGAAGTTTAAAACCGAGGAGAAAAAACATCCAATGCAAGTCCACGATGCTATACTTCATCGCTCAAGAGGTTAGCAATTGCTTGGTATGGCCAAAATTTCTGAACTGTGATTTCTTTTTCCTTAACTTAATGCTTCTGGTTTACAACTGTACACAGATAATTTGTATTTAAAACAAGTAATCAAACAGCTCAACATTGAAGATCTGCAGAGGGACATCAACAGTACACATAAACAAGAGGTTGCATCAATTGAAGGAGACACTGGAAATGAGGTTCTTTCCTTTCTGAAACTAACACACAAACGCAGTGTTTAATACTGAATTTATCCCATTGACATTCTTTCTCTATTTTTCTGTTTAAAGCATGTGTTGCAGGACTTCATGGAGGAAGAGAATGATTCAAATTGGTCAGATAAAGAGCTGGGCATGCGCCAATCTGAGGTCAGAGAGGGGGAGCATGTTTCTGGGAATGCTGATGATGACCTGGATCTGGATGTTTTTGATTGGTACTAGGACGATAATCATGATGAAAATCAGGCAAAAACGATACGGGGTCTCGTTATTCTGCCAATGTGCTAAGGACATGTCCTGTCTCAGATATGTTTGCTCACGGGATTACCAAGTTACGGATGCAAATAGTACAGTTGTTAGCCCGAATAGAAGCTTATTTTGCTTTTGCCTTTACAATGTACTGAACAGAGTGTCGGGGTAGCATAGCAACACCATATTCGCTCTGTAATAGCCACAGAAACAGGCTGCCAACCATATTTTGCAGTCTGAAGGTGCTAAATTTGGAATCTGTTGGTAGCATATCAGCCATCAAATATGCAAGGTTTTTGCCAAACACATCTGTATGTGAGGCATATGCAGATACTTTACTTATCTGCAGCTATCTCATGCAGTCTGGGAGGAGTTCTACTGCTAACGAGGTCACAAAGTGTAGCCTTCTGCTAGCACATCATGTGTAAACATCTTGCATTGTGAGTGTGTTGTAAAGTACAGCTGAAAAATACACATTCTGTTGCTGCGTAAATCTGGCGTACTCTCCTACGCATCCCTCAGCGAAGAACTCGGCGCCGGGTAGGCAAGAGAGTGAACCAAATGTTTCAGGCGGTTGCCAGAAGAAACATCAATGATCCATTAAAATGAAGATCAAGACGTCTGCTAACAGAGACTGGTGCCAGACCAGGTCGTCCACATTCAGTATGCGTGCTCCATGTCTGGAACATTAAAATCTTGATGCAGAGAAGAGAATATACTGTGTGAAGACGCGTTTTTCTGCGAAAACGGATAGATTACTGTGACGAGACGCTACGTACGTGATACCGACGCGTCCTCTTTATTTTCTCTGTAATGTTTTTCCTAATCCTCCTGTGATGCTAACGGAGCATCCACGCGTCATGCATAACAGTCTGTCATGCAATGTCTACCGATTCTGAAACACTGGTGGTGAGACCGACTGATGTTGACTGAGAAATGCACTCCTCAGCACCACGCTTTGATTGTGAAATAAAGGAAAGGGATCGGCGATGAAAGCTACTGAAAGGCCAACGTTTTATACACCTAGTCTACCATCTATGGTTGCTGGGGTTGCTGGCTAATGGCCATGGCATGATGCCATTGTGGGGCTCCTTTGTCTTATGCAGAAAATCGGCCGATTCTCGACGACAACTTGCAGATGAAAACCAGCACTGATTTTATTGTTATGAGAAATTCAGAAGATGTATGGAGTGAAGTGATCTTCGCCGTCCATGAATCTTCGACTAGAACTAGCGATCCTTCACCGTGTGAATATTGATTTGCGGCAATCGCCGACATTTGTTTCCATTCGGGATTTTGGATCGGCGTATGTGTTCCAAGAACGAAATAACAGCATATGCGGTCGGTCCAGGTATTCTTTTACGCTTGTGCTCACCTGTAAACCATGGTGGTTTCGTAATCCGTATCATCTTTTCACAGATTACATTGTGTAGATGGTGCACTATGGTGCCTGTGCTAGGAACTTAATTATGTGTTTTGGCGATTCAGTTAGAGCAACAGATGCAGATCTTACTTTCACTATCTCTCTTTGAGGTTACAGAATATATGCCTGCGCCTGTCCATCGGCTGTTAAGCACTAGTAACAACTTCCCCTGAGGAAGTGCGACCCCGTACTCGTAGTGGCTCTAGTGCTCTAACAAAGATGCAGGCAATGTACTAGTATTATTTTTACTTGTGAAGAGGCCCCTTTTTACTGGAATCTTTTGGTGCTACACTGAGGTCTCCTAAAGTGTTTGATTTGTGCTAATTTTTTCAACTCGGAAATGAATTCGTGGGAAGATAGCCACCAACCAGTGAGGATAGTCAAGGGGGGATTAGACATGAGTTAAATCTCCAGTGTGGTAATTCTATGGATACAGCAGCTCTCCTCCTCTCTTTTGTGACAGTTGTAAAGATGAACCGATCTTTATACATCTACGAAAAGGTAGTTGTTGAATATACGAATTGTTGTTCTGGATAGGCTGTAGATATTTTTTCCTCGTGTCAAAAGGGCCGGGTCAGCTTACTTTTATTTCTTTTCCTTCAAGCTATCCATGATATAGCTGTTCGTATCTTCGACTTCTGCAGCAACATAAAACACATGCATAATCATCAAAGCTTGTTGCTAGCTTTGGGTTGATCACTGTTGTCGACCGATTGTTTCTCCTAGTCTAACATTCCCCAGATTCTGGTTTAGACTTGTGCCGTGAAGGAACCTTTTTCTTAGATCAGTGAGCGTACGTGTTTCTCTTGAGCAGAAAGTTGGTTTCACATACAGATAAGTTGAGTTGCCTAGAGATCAGCTTGCCAATTACCATGGCATGTTAAAAGGAACCTTTCACATGGCAATATCACTGAAGCCTAACCACTCCCATTGAGGTCTCCCGGCAGGCAGGTTACCATGACCCCCCTCCACACATGCACGGGCAGAAAACAAGATCCATCACCCAAAAGCATCACACACACGAATAATGTAACAATAAGTAATTCTGATCATCAGCAAGCAAGGAAGCTTCCGGCCCATGCTCAGTGTCCCCCGCTCCTAATGCACTCCAGCTCCTCGCCTCGAGGCAGGCTGTCCTGTCGTCGTGAGGTTAAACCCAAATCAAATCAATTGCCGCTGTCCATTTCGCCTGCTCCCTTTGACGATCCTTCCCTAGTAAAAGCGATGGCATCATCCATGAGTATCAGAGAATTTCTTGTGCGAGCTAGGCTGGCTGCGAAACCGCGTCGCCGTGCGTGGGGGCGCCACGTACGAGTACGTAGCGGCGGGCAGCTAAGCTTTTGTTTGTTGTGTTGTTCTTTATTAAGATGAGGCGTCTTGTTTGGTTTGGTTTGCTGACATCCGAGAGACCGGCTCTTCTTCTTCTCCTTCCTCCTCTTCTTCGGAGGGACAACTGTGTGAGGTGGACGGGTGTCGCGTTCTGCATCCAAGATAAGATCTGAAAGCAACGTGGTGGTGTATAGTAGCGGACGCTGTGGGGTGATCAAGTCGAGTGTGTGCGTGTGTGTGTCGACAGCAGGGTTTGATGCAGTACGTATGTCCGATTAGTAATTGATCTCCGTTTGAAAAATGGGGGCTAGGCTGGCTGTGCTGTTCTTCTGGTGGCCTGTCTTCACCCTTGGTCTCTTTTGACCGTCCTGGATTTCGGGGAAGATTTACTGGAGGGAGGAGACTGCCTGTCCCCTATCCTCAGCTGCCTGTCTTGCTGGAGTGGTAGTATCTGTGAGTGACGTGCTGGTGAATGGGATGTGCATTTACCGGCATTAATCTAGGCATCGGTCATGATCAGGCATTCAGGCTGTGGCGTGAGACCGTGAGCATGGTCGACCGGAGTTTTATTTACCTTTTTTCCTTTTGTACCGGGATCTTGAACGGGGTGGGTTTCTTAATTATCCTTGAAAAGGAAAGGTGTTTTGATATGATATGTCGAGGGAGAGGGAGGGCTGCTCGTCGGCAGGTGGGCTTTTTTGCACCAAGAGTGCAGTCTAGCTGCAAATGTTGCATCGACTCAGAAAAAAAAACTGCAAATGGTGCATGCACTGTTTTTGTAAATACCACTTTCTAGACAACGGAATAGATACACTTTTTTCTTTTCTTTTTTGTCATTCTATATAACTACTACTATAATTAAGAAAGGAGTATGGATGGCATACCGGACTGATCTGTACACTTTGACCGGCTAGCTATAGCCTATAGCTAGATCGATCCTGGCTTCCTGCACGTAATAAGTAGTGGCCGGCGCCGTCCTTGACCAACAGAACCCAGCCCTGGCCCCATCCCCATGGTTACTTATTAATCCCACACAACAATCACAGAACTACCCCCTCTGCATGCCATGTCGAAAACGCTCTTATATTACGGGACCAAGGAAGTACTTGTAACTAACCGATCACACGACACAGGCACTACATATGCAATCGGCAACGAAGGTACATTATCCTCTCTTCTGGTCCCAAGCTAGCTAGGTAGGGTGTCTCCAACATTTGTCCAACCATAGTCGTCACTGGACTCATCATGGGAGAAACCATTCATATTGTTTCTCTGGCCGGTCTCCTCCTTGGACCAATCACATGACACTCGCATGCATGCACACGGAGACTAGCAGCAGACTAGCGTGCGTGGCCACCCGTCCCATACATATTCCCGGCACGAGATTCTGCGTCACGTACGGTGCGCGGTGCAGCATGCAGCAGCCTGTACCCACGACCCACCGGGCTGCTCGGGTCCAAGGCCACGCCACTCCACTCCACTCCGACCCAGGCCACACAAAGTCAAGACCGACCGGCCCGGCGGCCTCTCCTCTACTTTTCCATCTCTCTGGAGTATATGCGTTTTTCCTCACGAAAACCATGCACCCCCTGTCGCGTCGTCGTGCGCGGTTATAATTGGCCCGGTCGACCGAGAACTCAGGAACCTCGTTCCCCTCGTGCCGGAATTACACTGACAGCCTAGCACCGCCTCCCTCCGCACTTTTTGTGTACCGCCGTGTGAGTGTGAGCTACGTATAGACAGATTAATTTAGTTTGATTTTTAAGGTTGATGATGCACGCACGAACGAACGCCATCTGGATCTTTCTTTCTTTGAGGTGAACGCCATCTGGGTCTGTGGAAAGATACTGGCTTTTCCGCACTTTTTTTCCTGAGAAGCAAAGGTTCCGTCTTTTCACCCGATCGATCTCGCTGGCTGACAGTGCAAGCGTAGACGCATGTGTTGTTAATCTGAGCTTCGCAATCATTTACGACCGGGTCTTTGCAATAGTACGTACATGTCTTGAGATGTACGCCGGGTAGCCTGGTACGGTACACTTGTTGGCCGTCTGTACCTGCACCTGGCATGCACGATCGAGCTTTCCCCATGGTACCATGATTAACATGGCAGATCTCGTGTTTGTACGGCATGCGCGTGTGGTTTATTCAATAACACCACAACCACATGCACTGTGCACACGGAGAATCCCAAGATGTGTCTACACGTACACGTAAGGTGGTC